TACAAGAAAAGATGAAGAGAGACAAAAAAGAATGTATGTGGGCTGGCGAATGGGTATGCGTAACCAAGCGAATGGGTGAGACGCCTCTACCAAGGCCGCGTTAGCATTGTTTGACCGAGAAAAGATTGAGATGAAGTGATGGGTTGGGGATGAATGCAAATGGATGGATGGAGGAGCGGAAGCGAGAGAGAAACGGGGTCGCACGACAGAGGCCCTGAGAGGAGCCAGGGACTGGGGCTGTTCCTACTCTGCTGTGCCTTTTCTTCCTTCCCTTCCTTTCCAGATGCCTGTCCAATTCTGGGCCGAGCGTTTGAGTGGGAGGAGGACGCGAGTATCAAAGGGGAGTAGCGCAACTGAAAGAGCAGCGGCCACTCCTTGAACAGGCCTAGGTCCGTCATGATCTGGGGGTTTTATTCGTCAGCTCTTTATTGAACTCCGCGTAAACCTACGGCGCGAACCCGTGAAGTTCAGGGGTGCCACTTTCGCAGCGACGCCATCGCCGCTCTGTTCTCTTGGTAATCCGCCTGATTTACAGCGCCTACGGACAGGGCTGCGAATTATCGCGCCGTCCCTACCTCCCCAAAGCAGCCAGCCGCCAGGTTCCATTGTGGTGGTCAGCTCTCAGCTTGTTTCTGGCACCTGGAGTGCTCCTTCAGCCGCCCTCGTGGCTGGCTTAGCCCACCGCTTCTTTCGGCACTGCCCGGCTGGTTGCTGGGGAAAAGCAACCACAGGAGCGTCTTGGTTTACACACACTAACCTATGAGAGTTATCCCTCAATACCCGTTGCCTGGTTTACTTGTCAAGATCAACAACCACCACAATTGCGTTTCTGATCTTGGCTCCCCCCTCACCATGTGCTCCCGACGACCAGACGTCTGGGATTTGTGTGGCTTTCTGTAGCTTTCCATGTTGACGCGGCAGGTTGCAGCTAGACATGTACAGTATCCGGCCGTTGAGCGCACGCAACCACGCAACGCAACGCAACGCACAAGCAAGATTCAGCAACGGCCATTGACAGCGGCGGCTGCATAAACCGAAACCTTCTTGCAGATGCCTGTCATGAGGTATCAAGCACGTCACAACACGACCTGCAGGGTTTTTCAATTTCCATCAGTGAATTGCAAATGTATTTACTTTATTTTTAGCCAGACTAGAGTGCAAAATAGACTCTGCGAACGACAAGATGGGATTGCTGACGCATGTCAAGTAAAAAATATCACTGGTCACTCATCCTCCATCCATGTGCCAGCTCACATTTTCAGGGTCCGGTTCGATCGACCTCGCACCGGCCGGCGGGGTAAACTGACATGGCTCTCCTTGACTTCTCGTGTCTCCGCGCGAGCCGCTTTGTTGATGATTTGTGTTTTGCAGGAAGACCCAAGGCCCCCACGTTGTGCTCACCACGCCTGGTGTCTCTCCAACATTGAAGAGGCGCACGGGCCATAGGTAACCATGACGGACAGCGCACGTGACCTTCCGTCGGCGCTACAGCAAGGCCGGTCGCTTGGGGTGCGCGAGCCTCGTCATCGTCAGCCTCCAGTTCTGAACATCGCCAACGAAACATCATCGGCCGAACACGACCTACATCCCGAATCCACCTGTGAAGCTTCGGGGCCCCTACGAGATTCTTTACCGATCAACCCGAACCCCCGCGATCAATCCCTAGCCGTCAATATGGAGGAGGAGCGTCTCTGGAAGTTTAGAAAGCCTGAGTGGCTCAACAGCGTCTGGGCCCGCAACGCTGGTGTCTACGCTGCCGGAGCTATCGTACGTTGGTCCCAGGAAGCATGACGGGGTTGTTATCGCGATGTTTTCTTTGCGCTCGAGCTCAATACCGCGCGATACCCGCCCACGCCGCTTCGCTGTTCGACAAGTTCCAGATCGCAAAGGCTAACCACGTCCTACCAGTTCTCCGTCGCATTCTACGTCATGCTCGACTCAGCCGTCTGGTCCAAGTCGCCCAGAAACGGCTCTGACGTTCATGTCAAGTTTGTCGACTGGCTGCCCTTTATCTTTTCCAGCTTGGGCATGCTCATCATCAACTCGGTCGAGAAGCAGCGCCTCAGCGCCGACTCTTTCAGTTATAGCGGATCTGGAGTCGCATGGAAGGCCCGCGTTGTTCTTTTCCTGGGCTTTGCGGCTCTTGCTGGTGGAATGGCTGGCGGTGTTACTGTCTTTGTTCTCAAGTTTGTTGTACCCAGCGTTGCGATGCCTGCTCTGGGCATGGGCATCGAGAATGTGGTGAGCAACGCTCTGGTTGGTGTCAGGTAAGTTTAACTCTGCCCAAAGCTTCCGCCCTGCTAACACAATACAGCTCCGTTGTTCTTTGGGTGAGCCAGAACATGGAGGACGAGTACTCGTACAACCTTTCTCTGTAAACACAGCCAGACAAGATTAGATCGAAAGAACGAGGGCTGTGTGGGTGTCGAGGCGCATTGATGGGTTGAGCTACATTCCTAGGGATAGCTCTCGGTGTACGAATAAGAGCAGTTTCTCAAAGTATGAATGTGGAAGAATGAGCTGCAACGACGAGTATCAACAGATGGGTGATGGCGGTCATGATCTGAGCACGAAGATTTGGACCAGGAGATTATAGTTATTGGGAATTCATCGACTACTGTCGATTTAAAGATTTAGGAGCTCGGTTTACAAGCGTTGTCAGGATTAGCATGAGTTTAAAGTTCGTTATGCACAAACTGACAGCCTGTCATGTCTGACGCCAGGAGAATGGAGTTGAATGGACTACAGGGGCAGTCTATAGTATCCAAGGTCAAAATCTAAAGGCATTGGAATTGGATGCTAGACTAGCACAAGATCCATTGCTAGAATGCACTTGCTTCGACTCAAAGACTCGGCGGTTACTCAACCTCACTAGAGCAGAGCATACCCCAGCGCATCCCCACACAAAGTCAACACACATACATAGAACCCGCATCTGACTACGCATCACCTCTTGGACAACATAACAAAACACAAAAAAAAAGTCCTACATTCTGCATAATAATTCACTCACTCACACACACACGTCATGTCTGACCGCTCACGCGCAGCAACAACAAACGGCAACGGCGTTTCGCGTACGCGGAATGGCACAACTTCCGCTGCATCAGTCCGTCGCAATCTGTTCCAGAGCCAGTTGACCCGGCGACCTACCGGAGGAGGCTCCTCGTCCACGTCGGCCGAGACGCTGCACCTCGACGTCGACGTCCTATCAGACACCTCTGAGATTGTCGTTCGTGACAAGCACGGTGAGATTGAGCTTGGAGACCCGCCGACACCGATGCTTGAGGACGAGGATGATGTGCCGCTGGATCACCGGCAGGAGACTGAGAGTATGCTATTTACTTGCGACGCCTTTCATGATTGAAGCTAATACTGGCGATAGAGGAGAGGCAGCGATTGGCTGAAGCCGTCAAGCATCATCAGATTAATCGGAATACAGTCCCAGAGCAACCAGAAGGTATACCATCTCACTCCAGATCATCACACCATGTGGCTCACCTCACGTGCAGAACTCCTCGAAGCTGTCAAGACGAGCCTGAGAGCAAAAGTGGCGGCCCTCGCAGAAGACAATTGGATGTTTGAACCCGAAGAACAGCCACGTGGATAACCAAGTCTTTTTTTTCCTTTCGCCGACCTCACAACGCCTGCTGTCTATGGATGTTTCTCTCAAGACTCTATGGTACACAAACCGTCCACGAAAACCAACCCTTATTTTAGTCCAGGCCCTCAGCAGCGGGAGCATCTGACCGTTGCGTGACCTGTCTCCGCTTCGGCTGCTCCTGACCGCCGGCTCCTCCAAAGAAGCCGCTCATCATATCCATTAGAGGGTTGCTCTGTCGGGGCTTAGCCAGACCAAAGTACATCTCCCCAACCATCTCGAGCGCCTCACCCCACGTCCCGGCCTCGTTGATCTGCGTCGCGTACTTGGACACGAGCGCCCGGAAGAGCTCAGGCGCACCCCGCTGGACGGCAAGGAGGAGGAAGCCCAGGAAGTTGAGGAGGGGAATGCTGGGGAAGATACGGATATCACCGGCGGCGCTCGACACGTCCTGGACGCCGATATTTGGGTTGTCGCTGGAGAGTGCACTGGTAAAGAGACGGTAGCAAGTGTTGGCAGCGCGAACGTTGCCAATAAGGAGGTAGGGCAGAACGGCGCGGCCAGCGAAAAGAGCTGCCGTGTGAGGCTCGCCCTCCTTGTACCACGTATACTCCATCTTTGTCAGAACCTCGGGTGAATCCTTGGTACCCAATATCAAATGTTTCTCCGCCTCGTATGTCTCATGTTCCTCGGCGTAAAGCGATCCGGCGACATGGTGAAGTTCTGGGTCTCCGGCGGGATACTCGCCGAACTTGGCTGACCACCTATTCGCCTGTCAGTCATACTTGTTACCATTCGGGACACCGTAGCACTCACGCAATAATCTCTCCAACAAACTTCTTCCTTGTAGGCTCCTCGGCATCGAACAGCCGCAGGGAAGTAAGCAGCCTCCCCTTGGAGGTAGCATCGGGCTTCAGCTCCGCCTGCTTGTAGACGTCGACCAGCATGATGCACAGATCGCCTCCACTTCCACCCTGGCCAGCGCGAAGCAACGCCTGAGCCACATTCGAGAGGATATCGATGGCGGCGGGCCAGTTGGACGTCTTAATGTAGCGGGAGGCGGCGACACGGGTCTGCTGCTGGGCCTCGTAGTAGTCGCCCTCTTCGATCTTGGCCTGTAGCCGGGCTACTATACGGTCGACCTTGCTAGCCATGGTGGGAGTTTCTCGGAGTGTGACGCGGAGAGGGAGGCGGGAGAGGTGGTGATGATACTGGCGGGTGACGTCGAAGGTAAGGCAGGGTGAAGCTTGGGAGGTGTTCAGCGGAAATGGTGGAGGGGTTGGCCAACTTGGATACCCCACATGGTTGAGTACTATGATGCCCCACTTTTGACTCACCATATATAAGTTGTGTCTGAGAGCATTACCTCCAAAATTGGCATGGCTGCGTCGCAAACGACGCGACAGTGGTGTAGTGGTAACATTCTGGCTTCCCATGCCTGAGCGCAGGGTTCGATTCCCTGCTGTCGCACAGCTTCTTTTTGCAGTTATTTTTGATGAATTCTTTTTGTTCAGATGAGTTAAACTGACCCCAGAGGCTTCTTGATCGCTCGCTCCCTTGGCTTGTGGTGTTGGATTCGCACTACTGCAGTGGGGTGGCCCGCCGCCCCACCAGTAGCGCAGCCGAGTATCGAGAAGTCACGTGATGCACCATATCCAACCACGATTCCTGAAATGGATTCACATTTGCACCTTGACCAATCAGCCCGCCCACTGTCACTTACACCATGAGAGCAGTCGGGGCACTCAGCTGAATAGATAATACAGAGTATTAAGAGCTGAATATTTATTTGACTGTTTAATGAAATGTTATCGTTATGCTATCGAATGGAGGAAGCGCGAGTATGTTGTTTTACTTCCAAACAGGTACATTAAACGTACAAGCTATGAGATTCCAACATGCACTGGCACTGTTCGATAGAGGTTTACTCTTACTACAGACAAATTTCCCTGTTATCAGCACCGAAAGTTAGTTTGTGAAAGTGAATCACCAGTCTTGACGCGTTGCCCATTCTCCAAGCTTTTGCGGCTGTGAATCGTCGGCTATGGTGTTTAACGCTGCGAGATTTCTCAGCTAGGTTGGGTAGTTTGTGAATATGAAGTCGTCAACCAAAACTGCAACCCTCTCAGGTCCCCTCTTCTCTTCCCTCTTCCCCCCACCAGAGCCACCTATTTCTTTCTTAAGGACACAGCCTTCTTTCTCCCCGGTCCCTCCACTTGCCAGCACTGAGAGGCGCATCACACTCTCACTGCGATGGCTTCACCCGTACCCGCCCCGCTGGGTTCTGGCTCCACACTATTTAGAGGTTGGGTCTGTGTTATCACAGAAATCTGGGACCCTCGCGCCTCCAACGTCCAGATTCCCGAAGGAGTCAGACCTCCACTGCGGTCGGGAAGGATGGCCATGTTTGGGTCTTCCGAGATTTTAAAGGATAAGGCGAGGTTGTCGAGTAGTCTGCAAAGTATAGGCGAAGGTGACTCGGTAGAGCCATCAAAGTCGGAGAATATAGGGAAGAACAAGCTGCCTTCCCTTCACTTGTACGTTAGTCTTGAGGTAGAAAAAGTGTGGAATAGAAGATGTCCTACCATGGTCCTGACGTAGGTGGGCTTTTGCCCTTTCTCCCAACATAAGGGGGATCAAAGTAAAGGCGAAGGCCCAAAAAACCAAACAAAAGTGGCCAACGCAAAAAGGGGGAGGACCCCAGAAACCAGACGGCACAACCTCTAGGAGGAGGAGGAGAAGCAGGAGAGGAACCGGCGAATGAGTCGTCGTCGGCGGCGGCGGGCGATGGAAGGGGGGGAGCCCGCGGAGGAGACGACAGGAGCTGCGTCGTAGGCAGGCGGCGGCGGCGTGGAGGAGGCGGTGGTGACGGCGGCGGCTAGAGAGGGCCAAGGGCCTTCAGTGATAAACTCCCCCTTCACGGGGGAGTCCTTCTCCGCCCAAACAAGCTCTTCTTCAGTGGCGATCCCTCCTGGAAGACCTAGCTCCTTAGGAGCCAGGTATTCTTCCTGGAGGGCCAACAGTCGGTCGAGGTTGGGGGGCGGGGGGAGCATCCTGGCGATTGTCGATGTTGTTGAGGAACAGAACGAGGCGCAAAATTGTAAAAAGTTCTAGTTTTGTTGGAACCTATTGCTTAGGCAGTGCACGGGACGAGCGAACTGCCGGGGAAGGAGCAAGGGCGGAAACGGTACATAATTGGAAAGAGTCAAACATAACCCCGCGCGGGGAGCAAAAGGCACAGGAACATGGTGCGAATTGTGCAAATACTTGATTACAAGAGGAGAGACAATGAGCATTCTCTTTAGACACATTACTGAGTTGCCAAGTACTACCACGTCGTCTTGGTGTAGTCTGAACCATTTACCACCGAGTTAAGTGAAACTGTGGTCGACATATGTCCATATTAACACAAAATTTCAAGATGACTTATTTGGTCGTTGAATGCATCTACCACAGGTGTTGGTTACAAGAACGGGAATACTTGAACCAAAAGCATGGATTCTATGAGAACGAACAAGCTAGCTAGGCTCTTATAACATCTTAGCCATAATCATTAGATATATACACTCTTGGTTCGAAACTGGGGTCATTTACAACGTCCTCCACAGCTATCAATCCCTCTTCGTAGAACCTGGAACCATTCACGCTTGCAACAAAAGCCCTTCAAACCACTTTACAAACCAATCCTCCAACAAGGAACTACTAGCTTATCCTTTCCACACGAATTCCTGCCTCACTCGAGGCATCAGAGGTCGAAGAGCCATACCGTAATCACCCCCATTTGGCGTCCTCAGTAAAGTGTGGATGTGAAACTTGGCCGGCTCCTCGTTTGTAAGGAAAACCCCCGAGTGGTGGTCAAATTCTATAATGACCACGGGGCTCTGGATCCGATAGTAGAATGGGTCATGCTCAGCCCAGCCTCCAATCCAGCAAAAGTAGGTTTCGTGGAACCAAGACTTGATCTGGTCGAGCCGGTTCTGACGCGCTTTCTGTGGGAGGTAGAGGAGATACTCGTTGCTGATGGCCAGGATAATATCCTGCTGCGCCGGTGTCATGTCGCTTACAAGAACCCCCTCGTAGGGCACGATGCGGTTGTCCCGGTAGGCTCCGCATAGATGTCTCTGATCGTCGTGGTTCCAACGTCCCTCAGGCATCTTGGGATCCTTCATGAGCGCGAAGATCTGTGCTTTCTCCTTCTTCTCAGCTGAAAGACTAGTCATCAATTCTAGTCCCAAACGCTCTTCGGTCTGTAGGATACGTGTTCCCTTGTATGGACCTTCGTCGATGAGATTTGGCTCGGCTCCAGTAAACCAGGGTGAGATGACAATCTGGGTTTTGTACAGCAGAATGTTGAGACAGAGATGATGGCCGTAGAATGAGAATCCCCAGGGTTTCTCAGGGCCAGGTTCGCCAAAGAGGACAAAGTTGTAAGACCATTCGTTCATGATGACTGGGGCCTTGACAAGTTCACCAAGGAAGCCGTTGATGCGCATAGCCCCCAATGCCTTTTGGTATCCTTCAGGGGAAAGTGTGAGTTCTAAAATTCGCATGACCGCATTTCGTTGCTCAGAAGGGACTTCATCGAGTCGAATGCCCTTGTCACTGAGGAGAAACTCGGGATTGGACCAAGTGCGCCATTCGGGCGAGTCAATGTGATAGCATGTCTTGTGATACTGCTCATCGCCTAGAAGTTGAACAAGCTCATTTGTGGCATGAACGATGTCCTTGATTGGGATACCATCGTCTTGTAGGTCGAAGATACCGCGTCGAACATTGCCTAGGTAGATGGTGTTAGTTGACACGAGACCTTGGTAAAGCTATCACTTGCCGTCATTGGTGACCCCCTTGAACGGCTCCTTGAATAACTCCAACCAGTGGCAGTAAAGAGCATGAAGCCATGGCGGTTGCTTGTTTTCTTTGAATTCTTCGGCGTATTCGTACACATCTTGCTTCTGCATGGTTGTAAAGCGGGGGATGGTGAGATCCGGCAGATGGTCACGGAAGCTGCGGGCATCTTTGGGCGAGGACGATTGGGATGCCATGACTACTGTTAAACTCGTGATGATTGTATAAGGCAATTGTGTCGCTTCAGTTGAAGTGTAGATGAAAGAGAGAAGTGAGCTGATGAGTAGTCAACGTCAACCTCGGGATATAGATAGCCGGAGCTCTTGCATGGACTTCTCGCCGGGTGCAATAACTAGGATATACGGAAGACACATGGATGCCAATTGGTCAACATGAGAAGTATCCCGGACCCCAGTGAATCACGGAAATACACGCAGCTAATCTAATTAGTATAATTCCGAAGCCAATCTGATTATACAGTTTGAATCCTAGTGGCCGAGGCTTGATGCCGGTCACCCCCGAAACGTCCCCCGCATTTTCGGCCCCGCATTCCGATGGTCGGTGTAGGTGGTGCCGAAGCCGGCATTACTACAGGGCGCTTATCACAAGTGACCCATGCAATATCTAGATTCCGTCATTTAAGAGCTTGCAGTCCCCGTATTTCGGACTATTTTTCTCTTTGAAACCCTTGGAGTTGGTATCATAGACCTAAATCATGGCAGCAACAGCTCTCCAGCGTGAGTCTCTTCTTATAGTAACTATCACTTTCTAACATCATCAGGCCTCGTGCGCTTCGTACCTAGGTCTAATCCTTCCAAGATCCTCATCGGTCAGCCCGCGGACAAGGACATTGATGTCGGCGCTGCGTTGCGCAAGGGCCGTGAGGTTGCCGTCAATGTCTGGTCAGGTTCCTCTGTTCTGGCGCCTGGAAACTCAACCGGCGCAACTGAGACGATCGACCGCGTGCTTTCACCTCTTGCGCAAAGTGAGGTTGGCACTATTCGATGCATTGGCTTGAACGTATGTATTCCCGTCCTACTTGATGTTGAACCTAGGGGCTAATTGCCTCATCTGTCAGTACCGAAAACATGCCGCCGAGGTTGGCGTTGAACCTCCGACCATTCCGACAGTTTTCATGTCCGTAACATCCGCCTATTTACCTCTCATAAGAGCTGACATCCGCGCAGGAAGCCCAGCACAGCCCTCCTTGATCCATGGCCAGCTCGAGGAACCATCCCCAAGATCACCCAGGTTGACGACTCTGGCGACTACGAAGCAGAGTTGGCTGTAGTCATTGGCAAGGCAGCCAAGAACGTGAGCGAGGCGGATGCCCTGGACTATGTCCTTGGATATACTGCTGCCAACGATGTGTCTAGCCGCACTCAGCAGCTTAACCAGTCCCAATGGTCCTTTTCCAAGAGCTTTGACGGTGCCTGTCCGCTAGGTGAGTGATCTCTTAACGGTTCTTGAGAACTTGACTGACTCTTCGAAGGCCCAACACTTGCTCTCAAGTCTCTAATTCCCGATCCCTCCAAGCTGTACATGAGAGGTATCAAGAACAACAAGGTCGTTCAAGAAAGCGGCATTGAGTAAGTACCCCCAACACCAAAAATTTCACACATCAC